GTTTTACCCCTTTCTCCTGCTCTTCCGGCCTGCTACTCTGTGCTACGCCCATGCTTACCTTGCTCCCGGAGACCTGGTCCCTCTCGGGAGGGTAACAAGGGAGCCGTCCAAGCACTAAATATATACCTGTCAATTTATATGTACATATAAATTGTTATCAGTTGCCATTGAATTCATTCTGATTCATAGTGATCCATCCATCAGAGCAGAACTGCTTCATAGGGTTTTCAAGGTTGTGACTTTCTTTTTCCTTCAGCTAAATGCATGATTATATAATAGGAAGTAAGAATGATTACTAAGGTTTCTTGTTAGAATATTAGACAAAAGGTAGAGAAATACTTGAGAAAGTTGATTTTTAATTTGAGAGGTTCTTTTCTGTCAAATAACACTATTGACGGCTGTGACTTTTTGAAAGATAACCAGGCCTCTTCTTTCATAGAGCCTCTGGGTGGATTCAAACTGCCAACCTTGCTTCTGGTAGTCAAGTGCTTAACTGTTTGCACCACCCAGGGACTCCATGTATATATTTTGAGAGCACTAAAAAAAAAATTTTGGAACTTCAAGGGTCCAAAATATAAATGTATGTCAGATATATGTTGCATGAAAATTTATTCAATTAATTTTATCCAAATAATATTTTCTTCTCTTTCTCCTCCTAAGAATGACTCTGAATGCATATTTGTCTTGGTTTTTCCAGGTTGTGGATATTCTGTGGAGTGATCCAATGGCTCAGGAAGGCTGCAAGCCTAACACTGTTCGAGGAGGCGGTTGTTATTTTGGGCCTAATGTGACAGAAAAACTGTTACAGAAATACAACCTGCAATTCCTAATCCGTTCTCATGAGTGCAAACCTGAAGGCTATGAATTCTGCCACAATCGTAAGGTGAGTGGACCCTGCAGAGCACCACAGAGTTATATGGCACAAATGTGGTACTTAGAGCTCCTCCCAGGCCCAGGTGGACTAAGGCCCTTGGTTTCTAACAATCTACTGTGTCTTGTTTTTGTTACCAACTTTCTCAAAGAAACTAGGTCCTTTAGAGCTCTTCGTCCATGACTTTTATAGCCTCTTTAAATATTCAAAATTTCATTGATGCAGCCATTTACCACTACCTTGAAAGCAGTGTTAAGTGCAGATATGATCCCATTTCATGAGGAAATATGGCCCAGTGTTTGCCAGTCACGATTCTATTCCTTAAGTCACATTGCATTCTGTCCCTTAAGTCACATTGCTTCCTATCATGTCTCAAACAACCCTACAGGGCAATAGGATTCCTGCAGTTTCCCAGGCAGGGATTTGGGAATGTTTGACTAATCTTTGGAAATCACCAAATCCTACAATATTTGCCCAGCCTAATGTCATGTTGGAACTCTGGTGGCATAGTGCCTAAGGCATTTGACTGCATCTAGAAGGTTGACATTTCAAACCTACTAGCCACTCCATGGAAGGAAGACTGGGCAATCTACTTCTGTAAAGATTTACTGCCTCAGAGACCCAAAGGGGGTGGCTGTGAGTTGGAATTGACTCAGTGGCAGTGAGTTTTGTTTATTTATTTACTTTTAATGTCATGTTAGGGCAGCATTTCTCAAGCCATGTTCCCAGGAATAACAGATTTTCATGTAGGAAAAAAAAAGTTTGTGATCAGCTAACGTAAGAAATGCTTGGTTAAATGATGCCTTAGTTACCTAGTACTGCCTCAACAGAGATACTAAAAATGAATTGCTTTAACAAACAGAAATGTATTCTTTTACCGTTTAGGAGGATAAGTCTGAATTTAGGGTGCTAGCTCTAGGGGAGGGTTTTCTCTGTCAGTTCTGGAGGAAAGTCCTTGTCTCCTTTCAACACCTGTAGCCCCAGTGTTCCTTGGAGATCTCCATGTGTCTGGCCATCAGTCTTCCTCTGGGTCTATGAGGTCCTCAGCACAGGAACCCTAGGTCCAAAGGAAATGCTTTCCCATGGTTCTTCTTTCTTGGTGGTAGTCAGGTCTCTCTTTCTGTTCACTTCTCTCCTTTTATCTCTTTCAAGATAAAAAGTGATACAAGCCACACCCCAGGGAAAATCAGGGCTGTGACTTGGATGAGGGTGTTGCATCCCACCCTAATTCCCTTACAACTAATAAGCTGATCACATCATGTTGTTATTGTTGTTAGGAGACATCAAGTCAGCTCTGACTCACCATGACCCTGTACAATAAAACAGAACACTGCCCAGTCCTGTGCCAGCCTCACAATCCTTGCTATACCTGAGCCAC